ATATATATATATATATATATATATATATATATATTATCACACATGTAAATTGACTGATCTATTAGAATTAACAATTTTTTTTATAAATCTAAGCCTAACTTTTTAAATAAATACATTTTTTTAAAAGACTAAACTCGTCATTTTTATTAAATAGGTCAAGTTAGACTTTAAACATATCAGATCATTAATTTTTGTTTAAGGTTAGTCCTATTTTTATCATAAGTATAATGTTGGTTTTCAATTTCGAAAAAAGTATTTTTTTTAATCTCTTATTTATGAAAATACTTTAGATCTTTTAATAATAAAATACTTAAATTAAATAAGTCGAGATATAAAAAAATATTTTAATTTTTAACTTTTGTGTGGAGTCGACTCTATATCTCTATATTTTATTTAATAAAAATATTTAAAATTATTAATGTTTATTAAATTAACTGATGTTATATCTACCTTGATTATCAAATTTCAAGATTTTAAGTTTAAATTTTATATATATAAAAATAGTTAATAGTTAAATATAAAATTATTTAAATAATATGTACACTAAATCATACTATCACCCATATTATAAAATTATAAATTATCACCAAATTAGACTATCATCTATATTATAGATGATAGATGTAATCGGTTCAGGGAGTGAGTATAAATGTAATTTGCATCAGTACTAATTTATGCTAAAAAAAAAAATGAACATCTATATTATAAGTTATAAATTATAAATTATAGATGATAGATGTAATTGGTTCACAGAGTGAGTATAAATGTAATTTGCATCAGTACTAATTTATGCTAAAAAAAAATGAAGAGCCCAATTTGCGCAAAAAATATTGGGCCATAATTTCATCAGAACTGTCAACAAATTTGTCAGGTCCAAAGGCATAATCTTATTAACAGCAATTAACGTTAGCCAAACAAAAATACGAAAAAGGAAGCGCAAACATAAACCCTCCCATTCCATTCCGAACTTTAAGGAACCATTATCCCTTGGAAACTGCCGGCTGCTTCAGGTAACAAGTGTTTTTTCGTCTCACATCTCAATTTTTCATCTTTCTCTACACTCCAGTTCCAAAAATCTTATCTTTTCCCTCTTTTTTCTTCTGAGTATCCTACAACCTACAGGAAGTGAAAATGAAAAGAATGATAGCGTTGGGGTTTGAGGGTTCAGCGAACAAGATTGGTGTTGGGGTAGTGACCTTAGATGGCACAATTCTCTCAAATCCACGGCACACATACATCACTCCTCCTGGTCAAGGCTTTCTCCCAAGAGAGACAGCACAACACCATCTCCAACACATTCTTCCACTTGTCAATTCCGCTTTGGAAACTGCAAACATAACTCCACAGGACATTGACTGCCTCTGCTACACCAAGGGCCCTGGAATGGGGGCTCCGTTGCAAGTCTCTGCCATTGTTGTTCGTGTGCTCTCACTGCTTTGGAAGAAACCCATTATTGCTGTCAACCACTGTGTGGCACACATTGAGATGGGAAGGGTTGTCACCGGTGCTGATGACCCTGTGGTCTTATATGTTAGTGGTGGCAATACTCAAGTCATTGCTTACAGCGAAGGGCGCTATAGAATCTTTGGAGAGACCATTGACATTGCTGTGGGAAATTGCTTGGATCGCTTTGCAAGGGTATTGACACTTTCCAATGATCCAAGCCCCGGCTATAACATTGAGCAGGTGCTATTTTGCAAACCATCTCTTTTACATAGTTTATGCAAGCATGATATGTGGGCTATTGTTGAACTTTTTACCTTTTTAAATAGTCTCATCTTACTTTTAATATGGAAATTACCAGTTTGATCCTTAAAGTATTGTCTTCTTTCCTAAGTTGTCCTTAAAATCACTCAAGTCCCAAAAGTATTAGAAATCATGACACATAGTTCCTTAAATACTAAAAGAAACCCTTCAAATTAATTTATACACATTGCTGAAATACATCAACGTAGGGACTAAATTTATAAATAATGCTTTAAGATTTACTTAAATAATTTTAGACTTTAATTTCTATGTACTGACAAATATTTTTGCAGTCTTGATCAATCAGCAAGAATGATAGGTATTAGGTATGACTTTTGAGTAGTTTTTGTAATAGTCAATAAACTTACCACACATGGTATTTTTGATTGGATGATCATGATATACGCTATTAGTACATAGATTAATCAATCTATATATATAATTTTCATACTATTAATCAATCAAAAATCATAGGTACGACATTTGAGCAATTTTGGTAAAAGTCAATAAACTTACTACATCATATGGAAACCCTTTACACTGTCTATACACAGATTATTTTCTCACAATTTTATTGCTTAATTAGGGGCTATTTAAGAGAGAGAGTATTAGTTTGAGGATAAAATCGGTGGTTTATCATCTCAACTTGGCTTATATAGTTTTCTTGCCCTTCAGCTTGCGAAAAAAGGAGAGAAGTTTATAGACCTGCCTTATGCTGTCAAAGGGATGGATGTATCTTTTAGTGGAATATTGAGCTATATTGAAGCAACTGCTGTTGAAAAGCTAAAGAATAATGAATGCACGCCTGCAGACTTGTGCTACTCTCTGCAGGTGAATTTAATTTTGCTAATGGCTTTCCCTCCTTTTACATTAGTTAATGAATAATGAATTTGCAAGTTGATGTGTTTTATTATGATGTTGCAGGAGACAGTATTTGCCATGCTTGTGGAGATAACAGAGCGGGCAATGGCTCATTGTGACACAAAAGATGTTCTCATAGTTGGTGGTGTAGGTTGCAATGAGCGGTTGCAAGAGATGATGAGAACCATGTGCTCTGAACGTGGTGGAAGGTTGTTTGCTACTGATGATAGGTATTGCATTGACAATGGAGCAATGATAGCTTACACTGGTCTCCTTGAATTTGCTCATGGTGCATCAACTCCACTGGAGGATTCTACATTCACCCAGCGGTTCCGGACAGATGAAGTGAAAGCAATATGGAGAGAAGCAAATTCAGCAAAATTGAATGGTCTTGCAGAGAAGAGCATTTGATTTCTCAATTGTGAGGTGCGGTCCTATCCTATTCTTGTGCTGTCGTGCACTCAATTAGACCTCTAGTATAAAATATGAAATGTCTGTGCCTAGTGTTACCAAAAATCTCCAACCTAATTTCTTAATCAACCTTAGGTTGGAAACTTAAATATATCGTAGGGTTAAATTTATTTATTAATTAAGATCCACGAGACTGCCTTCTTTTCTCCATTTTTAGCATAGTAAGTCAAAAGAACTTGACTATGACATTGTGGGAATCATAACCAGGGTACTGAAATTGAATTTTAGTGAAACTAAGTTTGTGTTTGGATGAATGTTTGCCAAATTGATTTTGAAGGAAATTGATTTTGCAAAAATAATTATGGTTAAAATTGATTTTGAAGTGAAGTGATGTATGTTTGAATGTTATAATTTTGAAAGTAAGTTAGTAGTAAAATTCAGTATAAGTTTTTGATCTTATGCAATAGTTACCTAGTGTTATTTCAATTCAATCGATTTTGGACCCATAATTAGTGTTTGGATACGATTTGTTGATCCATATTTTCTCTTAAATTCACATCAAATTGCTGAAATGAACGTGGAAACTTGAAGCTATGCAAATGGACATGAATTTTGCTTGACTTGATGGGAAACCAAACATGCTCTTAGTTTCTCAATGTGGACCAAACATATGAACTCTTGTCTAAAATCACGTTAGGTAGTTTTTCAATGTGATTTTGTAATGGATAATTCAACATGAATCCAAACATACACTAAAAGACACCAAATGTTAGCCCATATGGTTTAAATTAGTTTACAAATGATTCTGCACCCTCTCTCTTTGACAATGACACCCCTTACCCGTTCCTCCTCCCCTGTTCACCCCTTACACCCTCCTTGGTGGGACCTCCCTTCCACTAGGTCTATTAGGGTGTACAGTGAAAAGGTGGCAATATCGTTTCTCATTGTTTTTTTATTTTATAGAATACCTACATTGTTACTATTTGGTTTCTACTAAATCTGTGAAAAGGTAGCAATATAATTGAATTTTGCGTGCTTCATTGTCTAAGGAATTTCTTTTTCCTTCTGACCTCACAGGTCTAAGTCTGAGTTCTCAATTGTGACTAAGTACAAAAAGATCTTGTGACTAATTAATATTCAAATCATCCTCCTCTCCTTCAAGCTGAAGGTTGTACCCATGGACTTGATATTTATTCGCACGGTGAATTTATATATGAAGAAACACGTCACTTTATTTGATATATTGTTGTATTACTGAGTGGTGCTGGCATCCACACCAAGATGTATCATGGTCCATGGTTCTGTATCAATGACATTGGCTTTGTACCAAAGTCAATGGAAAGCTTTTGCATTGCGTTCTGGTGTGAGTGACTTTGCAGTAGCTCTTTTCGCTCTCGTAGGACATATAGACTAAAACTTATCCATGTAAAATATTTTTGTGTTCACCAAGGTAGTCACTCTTTTTATACTTTGTTTATGTATTGGGCTTTTGGCATCTGGGTCGAAAAATTATGAAACAACCTGATTCTCGATACCATTTTCAGCATGTGATGCAATGAAGTTGGTCTTTAGAGAATTTCATATACGCTTAAATATGTTTAGTCTTTTAAATTTAGGCTAAATTTGTTTTTTGATCCCTCAAATTTAAAATTATTTTTAGTCCTTATAATTTAAAAAAAAATCTAATTTTAATTTTTATATTCAAATTTTGTTAAAAAATTTATCAAATATTATTGTATAAATTTATCTATCGATGTCCTTGTTAGTGAAAATATTACATTAAATCTAATTAATATTGTATAACTGTCTTAATTTATTACTTATAGATATGTTATTAGTGATTTGAAGAATTAAAATAAGATTTTTAAAAATTACAATAATTAAAATAACAGTTTTAAATTTAAGGAGTCAAAAATAAATTTATTTTAAATTTAAAGGACTAAAAATATATTTAAGTCTTATATTTATATTTTACCACGAGTTAATTTGGTATGGTGGATTAAAAAAGTAGGGACAATTTTTTCATAAGCCCTATCCTCAAATTTAAAGCCTCGCAGTTAAGAAAATATAAGCCCAAAGTAATAATTATTTATTAAGCGGCATTTGAAGAGTATATTTGGTCTACATTCAAACTTAAGGTTCGGTTAATTTGGATATTTAAAAATAAAATAAAATTTACTTTGTTTTTTGTGAGAATTGATTTCGATACTAAAGAGGTCTATAATAATTCACGTTAATTGTTCAATCGACCCTCTTAATTTTCACTTTTGATTACAAAATATTGTTTTGCTTTCATTTTTGAAGTCAATTTTTTATTACTTTTAAATGTGTTAAAGTTGCCTCTTATTTGTCTCAATCATAAAGGCAGAGTTTTGCAAATTAAGCCGCGACACACATCGTACAGCATAACCCGAATAAGCAAGGAGCATAGTCACTCTTCAATTTGATTCTATTATTCTTTATTTGTAAGAGACCAAAGGTACATGTGGAGCCAGTTTCACGGTTCACATCCTTTATTGTACCATGGGATGGCCTATTGCTTATGCTCTCGTTAGCTTAATTGTGCTAATGTGTTTATCATACTTTCATTTGACTTGTTGCTTATTACTCCTATTGCTCAATAGAGGAAAACAGTAAATTACAACTATTGCCATCTACTAAATGACATGATAACTTTCCTGCCCCCCTCAAAAAGTTTGACAGAATTGTAAAAAATGTTTTACACCACTAAACAATATTACCAAGGTCGGATATGAATAGACGTATTGCTAATGTTAGTTATGAGAGGCTTTTGGACCACAGCCAATTTAGGGAAAGGAGACCCAAAAAACTGGTCCAATAACAAAATGTGATACTCTTGTGAAACTTGCCAAGGAATGGTTAATTGGGCGTTATGTATGCGTACCAAATGCAATTAAATACATTAGAGATTAGAGGCTATATGCTGTCTAATAAACCAATTGTCATGGTAAGCAAAGTATAGTATATTGTCGTTTTTTATTGATAGCAAGACAAAAAACAAAAGTGAAGGTCGTACTGACTACTAAGGTCTACTACCCTAAGGGGAATAGTACTTTTATGCATGGATTAAGAATGTTATGAAACCTGTCATAATCCCTTTAACGATGCAGGGCTAATACCAAGAACCCCCAATATAGAAGTATGTGAAAGGGAGTCTTAGTTCCATTTTCCTAAAAAGTATTCAACTATGTTGAACTTGCTTTTGCTTTTATATTAACTTGTAGTATGGACTAGGTACAAATAGCTGAAATTTTTAGTCAATCCCATGTCTCCCCTGAAAAATAATAATGGAGGAATAAATTCCAAGACAAGGCGTGAGATGGGAAGAAAGATGGACCACAAGGTTACTTGATGTTAATAATGTACAATCTAGACTCAGCTGTGGACCCTTTGTGTGTAGATTCAGCCCTAAATCGAAGGCTTGATTAGGACAACAAAGATTTATCGTCACTACTCACTGCAATTTGCGCCATCCCATAAGCCGCATGCTTAAAGGTTTTAATCTCCCCTTCATCAGATACTTAGTCATAATTACATGCATAATATAGTCTCGAACAAATTTAGGCTATAGTTTTACTTTTACATCTACGGGCGTAGCTTAAAGGTGAATAAAGGGAAGGGAAGAACATAAGAAAAAAAGTAAGAAACAATAATTTAGTAGGGAGACAAGACAGGAGGACGACAAAATTAAGGTGTTGGGATAAGGGCCCATCATGTGTTGACGTGGCTGAATGTCTGGGGTAGGAAAAGAAACCTGACTTTGTAACTTACACTCACTCGCTCGTTTACTTCTTGTTGGAGCTTGCTTGGTAAGTTTGAGTGGTGACACAGCACTGTCAGGTTTCAAAGAAAACAAGAAGAAAATGGAGTTTAAATTTGAAGTTTGAGAGAAGGAATAGGAAGATGGAAAGAAGAGAAAAAGGGTTAATGGTGGAAAAGTTGAAAGGGAAAAGAGGAGGCCCTTCTACTCCCCCACCAACATGGAGACTTGAGTTTCCATCTCAGCTGAATGAGAATAACAGAAAGCAGGTTCAAGAGTTTCTCAACTTTCCCACTTCAACAACACTCTCTGCCAGAAGCCTCTGTGCCAAACTCTGGCAAATTCAACAATTGGCTGAGCCTTCTCCTACTCACCGGGTGAGTCTCATCTTCTGTTGTATCTTTCTTTGTTTTCTGATCTGATAGGTGGGTAGAATTTCCCATCTGTTACCTTAAACATTTTCATAAAACGTTCCTATGCTAAATTTCTTTCCACTTCTATCTTAGAACTTGTTTATTACACTCAAGGAGTACTTTTCTTAAACTTCTTTTTTTAATAAAAATAAAGTGTTATTTTCAACTTAAAAACTCTCAAAATTACTTCTAAATTTGTATTCAAATAGACATCTAACCTAAAATTAGAAACTTCGGTTTAGGCTTTAAAAGTTAGTGACTAGGCTTTGATTTATATAAGTAAATTAAACTGGTGATGTAGATTTGTGAAAAAATATATATAATTTCGCATTTTAACTTCACCTACCGTTAGCATTATGCAGTTGACCTGCTCTTGGAATTTATTTATTTTGATTAGAGGAGTTTTTGTTTAGATTTTTTCTTATTTTTCCCCCCAAGAAAAAAAAGTTTTGTTTTTGCCTTTGTTGGTTGTTCTCTATTATGCTTCAGTTTAATTCTATTGTCTTGGAGTATTGCATGTGTGCTGTCAAGTAGACGCTAGAGTTCCAATCCATTTTCTTATTTTTGATTGATTCTGTATATTCCCATCCCATGTGCTTTTACATGTTGCTTCTCATTTAAGGAATCCCTTAAATTTTTTCGCTTACAACTATGAAGTACAATACTTCAATTTGTTTCATGTATCCATATCCGATACGTATCCGACACGATACTCTTAGATATTTCACCGGTACGTATCAATTAAGTATTCTATCCTTTAAAAATATTATAAAAAATTTATTCAATTTCGATACTCTCACATACTTCACCGATACTCATTGGTGATACGTATCGATAAAGTATTTAAATTTTTTGAAAAATTATGAAATATCCATTACAGCTAAATAAAATATATAAACATATTTAATATAGAAATATAGAAATATTAGTCCTTAATAAACTGTAAATGAAAATTGTCTTCTATATAGATAATTTTAAGAAAGGAATGAAATAAGTAATATTATTTTTATTTATAAATAATAAAAAGTAATTTATGATGAAATAATTTATAATTTATTTATTTTTACAATTAGTATGTTTTTAATTTGGATTTGCAAAATAGCAATTATATATTTAATGTTTATGAATTTTGATCAAAATTACAAGTACACAATTATTATATTGTATGACCGTTGATATATATAATGACACGTATCTTACAAGTATCGTATCCTATATATTTTAAAATAATCGTATCGCCGTATCCGATACGCGTATCGTATTGGTGCATCATAGGCTTACAATAATTATTCCTTACTCTTCTTTTCTACGATTAAATGAATAGGTAGATTCAAATAAGGCAAAGAGCTCCTTATGAAGAGAGATGATTTAATATTCAGCTTTCATATGATTGCATTCTTGTGACTTTCATGTGACAAGAAAGTGATTCAGTACTTCAGTAGAATATTAATTTAGCACCGTTTCACACTTCAATTGATGTTGTTTCTCAGGCGTTGTAAATACATATAATGCAATTACTTTTGGACTTACTTTTAGCTCTTTAAGTGAATTACTTTTAGATCACTAGGATGGCGAGCATCTGTGCAATAAAATTAATGATAACCAGAGATTTTCGAACACTCAAATTCCTCATGTCACAATTCTGCTGAAGCATTGTGAGTACTATTCTTTAACAGAGAAGTACTCATTTGCTGTATCTTTGGCTCTTTCATTGCATTTTTATATGTTTAGATTGCTGACCCTTACTGTGTTTATTCCACGTTGCAGCCAGCATCTGCTACGGGCTTGAGAAGGCATGTTCAAACATCACTTGTTCAGCACCATAGATCAGTTAAAAGAAATGGCCGCACTAAACAGCCTGTATCCCCTCCAACGCAAGTAAGTGTGTTTTAAGATAAACAAGTTAAAAATAATATAATACCATGTAAATATGAATCTGGAAGGAGGATACAAAGTTAATAGTTAATGCTTGCCTTCTAACAATTATCATCATTAATTTTTGTGGTAGCTGATTACTGGACTACCCCAGTTGTAGTCTTGTTCTTATAACCATGAAATGTAAATTCTTGCACAAGAAGGAAACACCTTCTTGCAGTTAAAGAACCATTATTATATTGAGGACTCATTCAGGGAAATTTTGTAACAATGAAATGCTTTTCTGATACACATCGTTCTAAGAAAAGGAGAAGAAATAAAGCAGTCAGCCCGAAGGCGCTCGAACATATTTTCTACTATTATCTGTTTTGCGTTTGAGGCCATTTTTCTAGGACATGTGTTGTTCAAATTTACAAGTGAGCAATGTTTCAACATGTTTTTACTCTTTAATCCATAAGATCTTGCCAACGAGTGTCTTGAGAATACTAGTTAAAGTACATTTAATATCTTATAAACTGTATTGAACATTTTTGTATATTTAATGTTTTTATTTTCATAAATTACTTATTTTTTCTTAACATTAGCAGCACTTGCCTAATCGAAATACTTCTACCAAGGAACTTATTTTTACAACAGTTTCTCTTTAGTTTTCAGTGAGACATATATAACTTGTGGTTTCTTCGTTTTCTATCAAGGCATTGAAATGGCTTATTGGATTTATTGTCAATGATCCTTCGATAATATTTGTTATGCATATCTTAAAAATTATTTGTAGTCCAGATGATTTTTTATATGTTAGCAGTTTCCACTATATATCTGGTATAATAAGATGAATATGCTATTTGCTTAAAACAGGTGGCCCCGTATAATAATCATGTAAAACCTAAAAGTTCCTTAGACTTGAAGGGTTGGATTACAGAGTCAAGTCGCAAACCTAAGACATCCAGAGAGTTACTCAACCGTATCTGGTGTCTGGAAGAACAGCATGCATCAAATATATCAGAAGTGAAAGCCCTGAAAATGGAACTAGATCTTTCTCGGGCGCGGGTTAAAGAGTTACAACACCAAAAGCAATTGAATAAGCATGAAATGGAGAACTTAATGAAGCAAATAACTGAGGAGAAGCTTGTTAGGAAGAACAAAGAGCATGACGAAATTAAAGCTGCAATACAATCTGTCATGCAAGAGATAGAAGATGAAAGGAGGTTGAGAAAGCATTCAGAAAGCCAGCACCGGAGATTGGCTAGGGAGCTTTCTGAAGTGAAGTCTTCATTCAATGGTTCTCTGAGAGATCTTGAAAAAGAGAGAAAAGCGCGGATCCTTCTAGAGAATTTGTGTGATGATTTTGCCAAAGGAATAAGAGATTATGAACACGAGGTACGTTCTCTTGTGCATAATAATAACGCTGAGAAGGGTCAAGGTAAAGAGGATAATAGCCTTGATAGGCTAATTCTTCATCTTTCAGAAGCTTGGCTTGATGAGCGCAAGCAAATGAAGTTAGTTCAAGCTGGCAATGGTCTCCCACAGATAGATTCATCAATTGTTGACAAGTTAGGTGTTGATATTGAAACATTTCTTCATGCAAAAAGATCTGTTAATTTGATAAGGTATGGCAACACCACCACAAAGGAACCCAAGGAAATTTACCCTTGCCTACATTCTCCACTAAAGGAGGCCACAAGTGCACCTCCTAATATGGCTGTGGAAGACTCCACTGGTACCAACATTTTTGAGCAGAGAAGGCCTTCAGACAAATTTGGCTTCAAAGTGAACAGAAACAATACTGCAGAGGTCCATAAAGAGAAGAAAGGAAGGCAGAATTCAGTGAGGAAACAAGTCGAGTCCAAGGAGGAGTGTTTTGAGTTGCAAGCAAATATGATATGTGATGAAAATGAGAGTTGGTTTGTTGAGAGGAAATCAAGTGAAGTTGGAGGGGACAGTACAGTTCTATATAATACCCCTGGGGCATCAACTGTGTGTGAAGGTCCAACAGAAAGTAATACACTATGGACAAAGAGGATGAATTCAAGTCTCAACATTGTTAGAAACAGTTCCTTGTCTTCTGAAGGAAATGACAAGGTTTATCCTGAGAGTATTTTCAGGGAAGATTCATGTGTCCATGCTGCAGTTACAGGTAATGGCAGTCCAGTAAAAAAGTGGAAACCAACATTGATTGTCCCAGATTTTGGCAAGTCTGACCCTTTAAAGGACAACACATTGATGGCCAAACTGCTTGAAGCAAGGTTGGAGAAGCACAAATCTCGCTCCAGAGCTACCATTAGACAAGTTTCTGATGAGAAACATCGGAATGTGAGTAGATGAAACGGTATTACACTCTGATCTTTGATCAATGAAGTCTGGAAGTAACCTATTTTTGTAAACCACTATCGTATTAATTACATGGATATAGTTAGATGGATGAAGATCAGAGTTGGGTACATTACCTGCCAAGGGACAATGGTAATGTATTTTAAACAAGTAACACAACCACCCCTTAAGCGGTGCTATAGATAGTAGATACCTTTAATTCCATTACATTCCCTCTCCATCTGCTGAAATCTTGACAGATCAAATGTTTTAAGCTGCTCACTATTTTTTTCTCAATCATATGTTTTTTCATCAGTTTTCGATAATAAACAAATAAGAAAAAGTAAAGCTATGCCTATGACCGTATTATATCATGCAAGGCATGCAAATAATCAACTGAGGAATGCCATTTTAATATCATTTACGATGAAAAGAAAACACGACGTAAACTTATTTCTAGTTGTATAGTGAGTTTCATTCCAAGTTTTCTTATAGATTGTACGTGTTTACATTGAAGCAAATACGTGTAGCTTCTGGGTCATTTGAGAAAAATTTACGTGTCCAACACAGGATTAATGCCTATCCAAATCTGAAGGTATAATATATTGAAACATTGGTCAAAACATCCAAAAGAACATTAAAATTTAATTTATCAGACAATTAAGTCTATAGATCCAGGGGGTTCGACCTAATGTATAGAACCACTGAGCAAACGCTTAAAGTTTAGTCACAATCTAGATGCAAAAAGCTGTCGGTATTCATTTAGTTAGTCACATTATTTTAGTGTTTATAATCCCTTTTTAATTAAAATATTCACCTCTTTAATTTGAAGAAATAAGAATTCCAACTATGGGACTTTTTAGCACAGACAAGTAAAAATTAATAACTTGATTTAATAACAATTTGATACAACGGTAGAAGTAAAACTAGAACTCCAATGAAAACAACTTATTACCACGGCAGAGAAGTAAACTATAAATATCAAAATAATACAATATATAACTATCCTTCAGTTTTTCCTGTAAAAAAATCGCTCAAGGATTGAACAAAATACCGGAAATTAAGGTGAAATGAATAAGCTCAGAAAATTTAAATTAATAGGACTCCCTTCTGACTCTGTTGCATCGCAGGATTCTTGTTTACGATACTCCAAACTCGGTTTGAAGAGTAAACTCAATTTCATAACATATTTGGTCATCTTAAAAAGTATATTTACACTTTTATATTTTGCCTGAAAACTTGGTTTCATAGTGACGAGACAGAAGCTCGTTTCTCAAACCCAGTTTCCAAAATGAAAAACTACTTAAACTTCAGTTTGCAAATTTTAATTAAAAAATAAACGCAGCTTCTTGGTGAAACCCTGTAATCTATACTACGAGTGTTAGTTATAAATAAATCGTGTGTTGCTGGTGAAACACAAGTTGACAGTATGCATAATGTATAACGAAAGATAAAAGGAAAAACAAAACACTCAAATCCCAATAGTTCAACACTTCAAATAAATATACGGTGGGTCTCTCTCTTTAAAGTTTATAGTCGGTACCCTACTCGTGCGAAAACAAATCACAAGTTCACTACCACAGCTTCAGAGAATGTCCAGGGGCGATAGTCTTCTGAACTTATTTTGAAAAAACAATCCCCATTTCTAGTTTTATGACGATCCTTTAAAAATTAAATGATTATTTCTCTAAATTTAAAAATTAAACCAAACGTTGTGTTACACCAATCTTGACACAATAGTTCGATCAGATTAATATTTCTAGACTTTGTTCCAAGTTCCATTCACAACAACCACATGATCCAACTGAGACAAACCTGACTTGTGTAAAGACAAAATGTACAATTTTTTACACTCGATCAATTTAAGTAATTAAAATTGAATAATTCGAATAAAATATTACCTCAATAAAAATAAGTAATAGCAGAGAGCTGATGACGAGGAAGAAAAAAAACAGGACAAGGGAGAGTTGAAAACGAAGGCAACATGAAGGAATCCACCTTGGTACCTAACTCAAACTCATTTCCTGCAAATAGATCTATGACCACTCTCACCCCTCCCATGAGTCCCCATTGAAGGATCATTTTGATAACCATACACAACCAAGATAACAAGCCATGTCCCGTCTAAAACTACCAAAACGAGGAAACTGGACAACTATTTCCCCTTCCCCACACCCTCACCCTCACCCAAGTGTACAGAACCCCTTTAAGTCAAGACATGTTAAGAATTCACATAACCTTTTAAAAAAATAGGGTAAGATGCAGATACATCACCCACATATAACATAACTGACAGGAAGGTGTAGCTAAAAAAGATGGACATATCTGACAAGACAGATATACATTCTCCCATGACTATCCATAATCCAATAACGCTATTGTGCTCTACATAAACCGGTCATCGAGCCATATACAAAGAGAATACTCTGAACAAAAAGCCTAAAGACCGTATTTGAACAGATAGATACAAAGGTACAGAATATGTGGGGACGAAATGTCCTTCAATCCCCTAAACTCCATTCATTGTAATCACGGTTAAATATCGAATCAAGAGAAACAATTCAATCAACAATCCCTATATCAGCACCACAATTATCAGAAGCAAAGGAGAAAAACACGAGAGCAATCCCTTAAATTTTTTCCCCCAATTATATTTGGAACGAACAATCTCTAATTAAAAACACGCATATAAAATATGGAGCAGCAGTAGCGAAATGGGAAATATGTATGAGTTATTGCGCATAAAACAGAAGTCGAACAAGGAAAATAGAAATAGTAGATAGAGAAATAGGATAAGAGGATTAGATTTTATCAATATCCTCATCCTCGAACTCGATGTAGTCGTTGGCGGTGGCGTCGTCCTCCTCGTCCAAGCCGGCGCCGATGCCCTCGTTGAGGCGAGTGGTGTCAGGCAGCTCGCCGTAGGCCTTGAGGAGTCTGGCCTCGTCAGGCATGTACTTGAGGATGACGTCAGCCTTGTCGTCCTGGTAGTCGCGGAGTCCGACGAGGATGATGTCGCCGGCGGCGATCCAGACCTTCTTGTGCATCTTGCCGCGGATGTGGCAGAGACGCTTGGTGCCGTCGATGCACATGGCCTCGCATCGACCGTTGCCGAGCATGCGGAGGACCTGCGCGTACTCCTGGCCGTCCTCCTTGAACACCAGCTCTCTCTTCTCGTCGTCCGCTTCGTTCTTCCCCCTCTTCCTGTTCTTCCCTCCCTTTCCCTTGTTCTTCGGCATCTTGATTCAACAACCCTAACCCTAACCCTAATTCCTTATCCCTCTTTTTTCTTTTTGCTTCTTTCTTTTCCCTTCTATTCACTTCCAAATACCAGCTTCTGAGTACCGTGTCCTAATGTCTGTTTTAATCGCACCTTTATATATTCCTCCAAGGTCGCTTCCGTCTTTCCATTTTCTTCTTCTTTTTTTATTTATATATATATTCCTTTTTCCTCTCTCTCTCTATACTTTCACGCGTTGCGTCTTCCGTGCCACTATTTTTCTCTTTTTTTTGGCTATGTTAACTATATTTTCTTAAAAAATAATTTAGTTAACCTTGTTTCATTTTCACCATTCCATCGTTAATAAATTTATTTTAAAATATTAATGTATATTAATAGACATAATTAAACGATAATTTGAAGGTGGAAAATGTTTCGAACATCTCCCAACTTTAACAAAAGTCCAACTCATATATATATCACAAAACTTTCACTCGAAATTGCCACAATAATTATATACATGTCTCTTAAAATATATTTTGGTTGTTAAGTTATACAAGAGTCACCTACAATTACACATATGGATAGCCGTAAATTTAAGAGATAACCATTTAAACTCATTTATACTCATTTCTTTAGTTAATTTTTTTTATATAAAAGTTTTTTTCAAAATAAAATAAACACTTTTTTTGATGTGTTTGTCTGATTTATGTTTTTAAAATAATTAATTTTTTATTTTTTTAAACATAACTCTCATATACTTTTTATATAATTACTTTTTAAAAATACTTGTTTAAAAATACCTATTTTTAAGTTATATCTTGGACTAGGGTCAAATCCTCAGTCTCCAGTTCAGCCTCAAACCACTTTATAATGAAATTTTTATTTTGTATCAGGGTCGACCTGAATATTAAATTAGTCCAGTTCTTGCTTTTAAACTTCTTGAAAAAAATATTAGTATTAATATTTATACAACTTTTGTTATTAGTTGATTTACTGCAGTGATAAAAGGTGTTTTTTCTCTTAGTAAATAGAGTTTTTTAAAAGGAAAAATTATTTTATAAGACCCCAATTTTTTTTTATTTTTGTAAATATTTCACTTCAGAGTTTAATTTAAGCTTAAAAATAATTAGGTTGGTCCTGTTTTGGACCAACAACTCATCCCATGAATTGGTCATATTCATGGTAGAAATGACTTTTTTTTCTTTCTAAATATTGTAAAAATCAACAGATTTATTGCATATAACAATTACGATCAAGTGACATATACAAATCTTTTACATGGTAAGTAAAAATGTTTTTTATTGCATTCTGTTATGAATAAAATACAAATAAACATAAAAAAGATTTCCAAAAGGAAAGCGATACAAAGCTTTTTGGTATTGAAAAAGTCATTATTCTTCCGTGGGAAAGATTAAAAGAAGATATATCGAACTTATTCACTCGTTGATTATAGCATGTACGTGGTTAGTTGATTAAGAACTGGATTCCAATACCACATACCAGCAAAATTCCGGATTTTCATTCCTTTCCTATTTAGCAAGAGTTAGAATAGGCTTTTCTGTCCTTCGATGCCATGAATGCGAAGTGAACTGCGCCACGATTACTTCACTTATATCTTCAACATCCATTCCATCAATCATACACCTTGCACTTGCTCAAATACAAATTTCACCACATGCTCTTCCACTTCCAGTACACCATATATGGGTTTTTTATTTTTTATTTTTTATATCATATATGCTCTTTACTTTTGAAACGTTCTCTAAATACGTGTGTAAATTAATGACTCCTTTTATGAACCTTGACATACATGCTTCAAGGAAGTTAATTTTTAACGCATGTTTGATTTGAAGAAAGAAAAAAGAGAGAAATGATTTTTTATTAAAAAAAACAATTCTTTTTACTTGTTAGATGAGCCAAAAAAATAAATTAACTATAAGTATACCCTTTAATGGACAATAAAATTAATAAACCCAAGTATTTGAACTAAAATTAATATAATCAACATTGCCCACACACTTTAAACATTTTCTTTCTTCAAACCCCACAACAATAGAAGCTAGAAAGGATGCGAAAATGAGAAGATAAATACTCTTATCCTCGTTATTACCCCTATCCTTCCTGTTGCCTCTCCCATTTCCTTCCAAGTTCCAACCAAACAGCATACAAAAAATGATATGAACCATTTGTAATAATATACCTACGACACTTAAAAATGACGCATGTACTTCAGAAATCTATATATTGCGTTATTAAAAGTCCCGGTAGAAAATTGACCTAATGTGACAAGTTAGAGCTAGAACAAGTTACATTTTTTGTTGTTAAAACGAAACCACCTAAAAACGAGACATGTCCTTCCTGTAGCTACACAAACTCTTGTACATGTAAGAGAAAAAGTCAAATCCTGATAATTCATTTGATCTCATGCAGCACTAGCCACCTAGTGCACATTGCCCGGATATTAGTTAGGAGTACAACAGGTTAAAGGAAAATGAGAAACATAGCCCCAAAAAAGTCAGAGCTACCATCTAGAAGAAAAGGTTTACAGATATAAATCCCGGTCAGTGTCTGATGGTGAGCTCAGCTCTGAGGTGGAGTACACCATTGATAAAGTAAAGACTATCTTCAGCCATGAATGTTGTCCACGGAATTGCAAACAAGTTTCTATAGCCAACGGCCTTTCCCCCGGTGAATACGTAATTGCCTTTGTACTTGCTAACAAATTCCTCTGTTGGCCTTGACCTTGCGGCAAATTCATAGTCAACGGCAAAGCTGACTGAGCCCTTTTCCTGCATTCCTAAAAACAGGCCAAAGCAGTGGAAAGAGCTCTGTTGGTCCATGTTGCAATGTGCTGATAAGAAAAACCCTTGTCCACCTAAATGGAATGCCTGAGAATAAACCCTGCCAGATGGGAACAAATTGGCACACTCCTCCCGCTTTAGATCCAAGTAAACCACACACTGCTGCCTTGGAAGTTCAAATTCCACCACCTTAACAGGGCGATACTTGTATGCCCGCTCAACAAAAAGACGATTGAAGGAAGCAGACTCGGCAGCTAGTATCCGTTGGCGGTGTGGAGCCTCAGCCTTGAAAAATAGGGCTTCAAGTACAAGCTTGGATGCAACATCATGGTCAAAGTCATTGCAGGTTAAGACCTTCTTAAGCTTTCGGCAGGTCATGTAAGGGAAACGAATTAAACGGGCTAGTCGTGTACCCAGGACTTCTCTCCTATCTTCAATTTTTGGGTACTGTATTCGAACCCACTTCAACACAAAGTCATATACAGCATCCTCTGAGGCAACCTGAAGTTCATCACTAGACAAAATTGCTTCTATTCCAGCTAGAGGCAATCCCATAACCTCTTCCTGGAACCTGGTCATATGTGAAACTTATTAGATTCAAAAGGAAAAACCAAAAACTACATTTGAGATTAAGAGAATAAAGAAAGACAATAGGAGCAACAAGTGGTTTTCGAAAGAGTAATACATCATAAGATTAAGAATCCAAAACAATAATGCAAAGAACATTTATGAGCATATCAGCTCCTTCCGATTACACTATATGAATATTATATTCTTTGCTGCAGCAGACAATACTAATAGAAACTTTTTATCTGTTATCCAGTTGCACAATAATGCAAATAGGCCAAAATATTAACAACAAACTTTCACTCAAGGCATGCCAAAATTATATATAATAAAAGCCAATTTAAAAGTTTATAACACATGAACTTGATTTACAAGGGTTCCAACAATTTGATGCAGCTAGAAATGAGCACAAGAGAAATAGTTTTTCAAAACAAAATGCAACACAGTGGATACAACTGATTTCAAACATATCACTAGCTTCCAGGGAAGTTGGAAGAGGAAGCATACATCCCAATATGAAAATAAATTTGAGTTTACATTGCATGAAATGTACACAAAAAAATACAATATTTTATAATGCATGAAATGTAGACCATGTCATCAAGTTTCATAAAAAGTGGAAAAACCTACTTCGTTATATCTTTGTATCGCCCCGCAAGATACTGCTTTGCAGCATCAGTCAATGGTTGAACTGCATCAGCCATTAAGACGCTAGAAGGAAGCTCAAGGTAAAGCAATGCAGACTCAGGTGTCATAGGTATATTCCGCAATAATCGGCTACAATGTCTCATACATGAAGCAACTTCAAATTTGTCAGCAGCCATCAACACATCTAATAGAGCAGGTGGTGAAGTAATGTTCAAGGTATTACTATACATAAAATTCAGAAGCTCCATAAGAGCAGCTTCCTCTGTAACATGAAAAGGAAGCATGACATTAGTAAGGCAACAATTAGAGGAAAAACCAAAATGAACAAATCTGATAGAGCAAATAATCTAAAAAGCTTTTTATGTAATTTAATAATACCAGAAGCATTAATTCTCAGGGTGACATGCCTCTGCTCTGACTCCCTCATTCCATTTGAGAAAAGCTGCAAAATAAACACAACTAAGCAAACATATTTTTAACAGGATTTTTTAAATCTAACCAATATAAAAAGACATTTACCTTGTAGAAGAAAGGACTTTTGGCAGCCAAGATAGGAGAACTGATGTGTAGTGTTCTAACTCTCACAACTGCAGAGCAATCCATATTCCAATTCGAATCATTGCAATTTGCTGCCTCGTCACCTATGTTAACAATAACCAACTTAAATCATTGAGAAGAACAAGCAACTTCAGGAAAAGAAATCTTTTATTCTTGCAAGCAAAAGGAGAATGTTCTATTTCTATCATTATCTTTCTTTATCAAGTATGTAACTTCCTTTACATACTAATTTCTCTTTTCAAAGGGAAACTTAGCATACTGATCTTCTATATTCAAGAACTTCATCAAAAAAAAAAAAAACATGTTTTTCAAACCCAAAGGAAATCTGTGACTCAATAAACAGCAACAAATGCAACCAAATAAATAAATAAATAGATGGGAGGGGAGGGTGAATCGCCAATTTAACTTTTGAATCATGAATGATTCAATATGTATATTACATGATTCATAAATTAAAAGGCAAAATCATGTTATACAGTCATATTTGAGCATCACTATTAACACAAATATAAGCTAATTTATTAAAAAAAACCTCATAACACTAAGTAACCAAGGGATTGTGATGATGAGAAAAAGACACAATATGAAATGGGAAAAATTTTAAGTTGTCTGCTGACAAAGCTTAACACTTTGAATTGCATAGTCAATAATGGAAAGAACAGCAAGAGTCATTGGAAGAAATGACACTTTATTTTAGAGATAAAAGAATGAAAGAAAAAAATAGGTTTCTTTGTTTCTTAGAATTCCCCCACACTAACACAAATCAATCTTCATTGATAATGGTATCAAAAAAGGCAACATCCGTTGAAATTTGGAAATACAGAAAAGCCAAAATGCACCATTCTTCTTTTCTCTCTACCCAAAAACTAAAAAATCAGATATTTTTCAGCTTAAGGTCATGTTAGGTTATTCACAGCCCGACTTTGTGAAATGGATGGTTGTAGCAGCAGCCTAATCGTCATACAGGCCACAACTCACAATTTCCACACTGGATCATGTGATTCTGGCCAGCTGGTGATTCAAGCATCAATCCATATCATTCATCCATTGACTCAAACAAAAGTCACCAAACCATACAATAATTACAATTGGTATCATGAATTATCTGATTTTGATAACCATGGTACAATATCTCTTAAAAAACTATAATTGAGAAAATATGTTTAAGATTTTTTTTTTATTATTATTTAAATACCTGAAGGGGATTCTTCAACCATTGCAGCTGCCTCTTCATCTTGATTCTCGGAAGGTAGAAAATCATCCATATCAGGTTGATTCCCATTCAAAATTTGCTCGTCAGGCAATAAAGTAAGATCAACAACTGCAAGCAACAGAGAGAATATATTATGTATGACATAGAGGAGGCTCCTTTTAGGTAAAAATCCATGCACATAATCAAGACTTAGAGTTTGCTTTGGCTCTTATCATAACATTGAAATCCTATTCATAAGGCTTATGCAAGTCAAAAAAATCGGATACATGATAAAACATCAAAAAGGCCCTATTCCATTCTCAACTCAATTGAAATATTTCTCAAAATTCATGAATCACCCAAAACATCAAGCAACGATACAAAACTATTGTTCATTTTACCTCTTAGATTCAAGAGCACCGCTGGATTCCTCAACAACCAAAGTGTAAAAGGGTTTTATATAGGTGTTGCATTGGTCCCTTGTTTTACTCTTAGGTACCAGTAACTTGGATGAGTTGTCATTTGCCAAACACCCATCAGTGGTTGATTTTGACCATCAATGCTTGAAGCACATTATGAACAACCGATGAATATTTGACAAATAATAAACATACCAAATAGTCAGGTACCACATTGAGTTACCAAAAAACCAATGAATCTTTCACAACCAATCAGCAGGCAAGTAAGCTCAGTACCAATGAAAAAAATGGGTAACTGAGTAATCAAGAGCAATTTATCACCCTAGAAAGTCGTAAGTAAGTTTGTTTGCATTATATGCAAAAATAATTTCCTTCTTATCTTTAGAGGGTTTGATTGAAACCAGATAATTAACAATATGGTTTAACTGTTTCATTTCAACTCATCCTATATCTTATTGTCTTGTCTAGAGAGAGTGGAATAAAGAAAATGTTCCAAATCACAATAATTACACTCCTTGTGATTAATCATATACTAAAATATCCTCATAACTTATTCTCTAACCCAGATTCCATTTACAATATGTCATAGATGCACAAGGACGTCTCAGTGTGCATCATTGTTCCGCTATTTTGAATAATGTAATGCTTCTTTAAAAACCTAAAACATCAGTTAATATGGAGGGGGGAAATTGGTGTTAAAACTATCATCTATTTCGAAATGGAGGGACTATTCCATAACATATGACTGAAACCCTAGAAGCCGAAATAAGATAAAGAAGCGCAGCGTGCATAATTTCCAAATCCACGAAGGCGATGCAAGAAACACCAAAGAATTGCCCTAATCTCTCTCCCTTTGATGAAGACCTCAATGTTGCGCTCAATGAGTTGGTGAAGAAAGGAAAAAGGCAAAAGAAGAAAAGGCTGTGATAAATATACCGTTATTGTCCTTCTTGATATCCTCGCGCCTCCGCTTGCGGTGGCGAGCCCAGTCGGCGATGGTGGTGCAACCCTGGGCATCGGGGCGGGCCTCGAGGGGGTCGCCCATGATCTCGATGCGGAGCATCCTGTCGGAGAAATTGCTGTCGTTGAAGGCGAAGCCGAAATCGGCATCGGAAGAGGAAGCACTGCGAGAGTAATCGGAGGATGAGTCCATGACCGTGGCCGGGTCGAATAGATCCGAATTGAAATCCTTCATCCTCTGAATTACGAAATCACCCTCCTACCTCTGCAACTGCAAGCAGAGAGAGGAAGAGGAAGAACAAATGATACGCAACGCAAGCCCTATGTTAATGAATGGCGCTCAAATAAAACACCACACTCACGCAAAGATGCTTCTTTTTTTCTTTTTTTCTTTTTTTCTTTTTTTCTTTTTTTCTTTTTGTTACGAAAACATTAAACCAAACTCTGAATTGCGGTAAGCATTAAATAATTTTCGCTAATTAATTCCGTTTTTTAGTTTTTGTTTGGTGCGCCATTTAGTTTCTTAGCTCACGCCCTTAACCAAATTTATTTATTAATTTATTTATTTGAATTATATTATGGTTGGCTAGAGAGAAGAACGGTAGATATGAGTTAGAGACGGTTTTTTTAACAATGTATGAAATTGGAGGAACATGGTCATTATTCCCTTTTTTATGTGGTTACCAATCACTTGTTTATAATTTTATTTTTTGCTTTTTGCTTTTTGCTTTTTTATAATGTTATGTTAAGAAGGTGAGAGTGACAAGATAATGTTTCTGTTTCTCTTTCTGTCCTTTCTTTTCTAAGTAGTATTATTTACAAAAGTCACTTCCCATCATCTAATTTTATTTCTTTATTTACCAACCAAAATCTAGCATTTTTTACAAGTTGATATACATGCAGATGCTGCTGCCTCTAAATTTATTTTATTTAAGGTCATTTTTTTTTATGTCACAAGTAAGGAGCATTCCAGCTTATTCAACTCAAGATTAATATATCTTGTAATACTGTAACAATTGTAATGATTGAAAAAAAAAACATGTTAAATATATCATTCTGAGAACATGTACACACATGATGAACATGTTTAGATGTAATTTAGAAAAGAAAAAAAAAATTAAAAGCTTCTTTACTTAAAAATATTTATCATTTCCAATAAATAAAAAAACTCTCAATTTTTTTTAAACTTTATTATGAGATTCAACATCTAATTACACCCATCAAAATATTTAGGGTATATAATTATTTTTTATTTTTATTTTTTTACAATAGAAGCGGATATAACCATGATATTATTTTTATTTAGAGTTTTTATTTTTTTATCACCATGAGTTGATATGGTGAGAAAAAGTCATACCTCTTATTAAAAAAAATAATGCTTATTGTACATGACTCACTACATAATATTTTTTATTTCTTACATTTCAACATTTTAAAAACAATTTTAATTTTTTATTATTGATTAGAATTACATTAATCATAATCCAAACTAAAATCATGTACATATTATTTTAGTCTCTCACTCCGTCCTAGTGGTTGGAAAGAATTTTGATTATACAATCGAATTAATTTTATCATAAATTTGAAGTAATGATCCCTAATTAGACTGGTGACATTCCGTAACCTGGTAACACAAGAGTAAGAGAGTGGTACCAAGCAACCAACCTGGAGCACGTGCGTTGAGCACCAGCATCAGTATCAAGTACGAAGTGAGTACACGTTCAACTGTACAAAAATACTTTCTTTTGAAGGAAAATAATACCTTTTATTGGATCATGTATCAAAATATTTCGTTATCAGTGATCTAAATATCTTATACACAATTGGTATATTTAATATTCAACGTATTTTATCGAATACTTAATTACATAAAGCTTACCATTTATATACCATGCAACACATATCGTAGTAATTTTTAATTAGTCTATTTTATTTCTCAAATTTTACAAGCATTTTAGAAAACAACAAATTACTATTATAAAAATTATATTAACATATCAGTTTAGTTTTGCTAACTATCACCTTAACAGTCACGACGAAGAAATGTTATTAATAAATGTGATTTTTTTATTATGGTATTGATAGAAATATTTATTAATTTTATTAGAAATCAGTCTTTTTTGAAACTTTAATTATATTGTGATTGTCTTTTTTAGTGCTGTTATTTTATTAAATTCAAGATTTAAACTCTGAAATTTAAAGTTAGAGGAATGTGATATGTTATATAAGTACATTTTCTTATTTTTTTAAGATTATTTTGTCTTTGTAATTCTTAATCACTTTTTTCTCTTATTATTATTTATTTAATTTTTATTCTCTCTTAAGACTATCTAAAATTATTATAGACCTGATTTTCTAATTGTTAAATGCTCATTTATATTTAATTTTACTTTTTTTCTTATTTTTTTTTATTACTTTTAAGCAATATATACATAAACGTGAAGTGTCTTTTTTTATACTAGTTGATAAAAAAGAAATTGCATTACTAATTTAAATATTATATTTTTTAATAAAGACTTGTTATTTTTAATTTTTATTTATCACCCTAAAAATAATGATTAGTAAAATTGTAATAAGGATATTAAATAATCCATTTTAGTAGTTGTAAAATTTTGATTTTTTATTTTTAAACATGTTGTTTAAAATAGATGTATTTGACAAAAATGAGATTAAAATAATTTTAATTTAGTTTGAAAACTTACAAATAAACACTTTGAAAATTTTGGTTACTATTTCATTAAAAAAAATTATCTGAATTTAGCAATAGTATTTTCCATCATTATCACCGTCAATTATTCCTCAATTGAATATAAACTTTAAAACAATGTCATTATTAGCTACAAAGTTAAGATTTTGCTAGAATTTTAAAAGCATATTTGAAATTGTTGTGTTGTACTTGATTTTAAGGATTTGACTCTCCTGATAAAATTTCACCATATAGAATAAAGTGTAATAATATTAATTTATATTTGTAACATTATACTTATTTAATATTAATTTTATATCAATAATAATTATTATTATTTTATCAATAATAATATCATCACTATTAAACTTTAAAATACTATATATACCGATTGAATCTCCGGTCCAATTTTAAAAGAACCGGTTATACCAACGTGGGAAAGTAGGACTTCAAATAAAGACTAAGGTGCCAAAGCAAACTTTTATCCTTTTCTGGTCTTTGGAATAAAAAATAAAAAATACTTACACATTTAGTCGATTTAATTTTTTTTTTTTATTTGGAGCCCGTCATTTTTGGTTTGGGTTTTTTTATCAATTCTAAAGACCCAAACACAATTCGCGCCTTTTGTGACCGTCAAATGTGGTCCATATTTATCAATCCTAAGGTATATGTTAAAATACTATATTTTATTAAATGAACATTAATTAAATGTTTATATTTATTAATATACATTTAAATAATACATATTAATATATTTTTAAAATTATATAATGTTTAATTATTAGCATTTATGAATCCCGTGACATGCCGTCTCTAGACTCGTGATTCAAATATCACTTCTACCTGTTTTTTAAGCCGTTTATTATGGGACATGGTTTTTGTGCCCAGTTTTAAGTTATTTTTCTTTTTATTTTTTTATTAATTTCTGATAGATTCTTCTTGAAATTTAAATCCAAATCCAACTCATTAATTTTGTACAATCAGATTTGTATTAGTGAATATTGGTAATATGTAGTAGTTTAATAATTATTTTGAGGTTGACTTTGGCTTTCAGAATTGTATTAGGTATTAGGTACGACTGCTTCCTACAAAAGGGAAAAGAACATTAATAAGATCAAATAACTAACATGAAAAACTTGTACAGTTTTAGTCTCCACCATCCAATAATAACACTTAGCTTGTGTTTGTGGTCAGTAGAGAGGAAAGAAATAGAGTGAAGAAAAAAAAAATCAATAAAAAAGTGAAGAGAAATAAGTAAAGAAAATAAAGTAGAAATTTGGTTGTTTGGTTTAAGAGAAATAAGTGAAAAATAGGTGAGATATAAGATATATATAAGAAATAGGAGAGATAAATAAATAAATAAAAATGTGAGATCTATCATCTTTTAATTTCCTTCCTATTTAATTCTACTAAATCAAACAATCTCTCTCATTTTCACTCTCTTGTTTTCACTCTCTCACCCTATTTTTCGCCCATTTTTTCTTTACCAAACAAGGCATTATTGTGAATGACACAAATAACTTGCACTATGTTATGCCTTATGCCTTGAAGCAAAATGGGATAAAATAGAAGTACAAGCAAAACTAACAAGCTCGTTGTCTAAAAATAACACTTACAAAACTGAAATAGTTAAAACCCATTTATGTAATCATCAAACAGTTTCGTTTGGTAATGCGAAGGATTTAGCTCTGCTTGAGTTCCTGACCTCTAAAGTCACCTTACACCAATTAAATTGTCCTATGCAAATGTTAAACGATTAAGGTTTTTAGATACTTGAAGGTCAAACTCAGGCCATACGTGTTTATTGGTTACTCTCGCGTGTTAGAAAAAAAAATTGTGGTGTCCAAATTTTCATCAAAAATAGAATATTGTATTGTTGTTGTAATCGCAAGTGAGTTGACTTTATAACATAACTTATGACTTTTATTAGAAGTATCAAAATTGGTTCAATCTATCGAGTAAGGATAAGTTGAACTCTGTAATTTTATGTTAAAAAATATATGAGGTAACTTAACTACTAATAAACAGGCTTGAAAGGTACCAAACATGCATGCTAGACATTAGCAAAATAAACATGGTTTGTGTAAATAATAGGTCGGCCCAACTTGTCTCTCATGATTGACTACTTGTTAATTTTAATTTTCATTTCTCAATTGGCCTAAGTTTGGTGTTATATTGTGATAACTAATCATCTTTATGATCGACTTCTAATTCCACATTTAAGGAGAATTTTAAATACATAAAGTATCATTTTATTAAAGAAGGTGTTGAATAATTCTATTCAACTAGTTCTAATAAAATTTATGCATTAGTTGGCATTTTTTCACCAAACCTATTTCATCTACTACTTTTTCGTCCATTGGTGCTTGATATAAATTTTTTGAATATATTTGACCCAGTTTCCGAGTGTGTTAAAATAGAAAATTGTTAGTTACATTAGTTGATAATTAATTATTTTCCTATTCTTTAATTTGTTATGAAATCAAATTTGAATTGATTTGTCAAAGTAGATAACTTGATTTGACTCAACTCACCACAAGTTGTTTGAA